AAAGAATATATATATATATATATATATATATATACACAGATGATACAATACTTATGTAATTGCACTTTTTATCTTTTTTGCAAGATATATTTTGTTGCTGCATATTTCTGAAAAGATCATGCTTTATGATATTAAATGCTATATTGTTCAAATTACACATATTTGTAGGAGAACAGTGATTGCATGCACTTATTCTTTAAAGCCAGATGGCTTTTGTTGTTTGACTCATCAAAAAATGTAAAATTTGGTTGAGCTGTGAGTGTATATTTTTCTTTTGAATAATAAATTCAAATTAATAATTAAATTTAAAGACAGTCCCAAGCACACTTATTATTATGTGCAGTTCATTTTATTAGGATGTGTTGTTTGCACATCATAGATATCTCTCTATTGTCCTATTCTATGATCTTTCATTAAGGAGATCATAGGATTTCAAAAGGGGAGGTGAAATACCCCTAGGTGACAAATTCTGAACATGAAGCTTTGAAATATGAGGTTGAAAAAGTATTACAGTGATAAAATTAGCGACAGCACTAATGCTCCCTTTAACAATTATGCCTTGTCTTCATATCACGGTGCTAGTTTTGGATCTCTTTAATGTGTATACATGTATATGTAGTAATGTTTGTGAATTTGTGATCAGGTGAAAAATTAAGAAATTGTTGTCTGTGACACTGCAATGTTCTCTGTTAAATACTCATTTTCAAACTAGTAAATATTATCAATTTTCAACACTCTAACACAAGTGTGTGTGATCATTATGTAATAATTACAACCCCAACTAAGTATCACACACAATCATAACACGCAAGTTAACCCAACAGTATTTTCTAATTTCTTTGATAGTTGCACAACAAAGGTCTCTACACAGACAGAAAACAATACGGCATCCATGAGCTCAGCTACTGTTTACATGGGTCAAGCCAATTGTAATGTATACTAATTACACTAGAGTGGTCCTTATTTGCAGGCAAAATTTAAGGTTAAAATTCTAAAACTCTCATCCCCTAATTCTGTTTCAGTGTACAAAAACACATCAAATGCCAATCTTCATCTGATTTGGACCATACTTGGAGGTTGGGGCCTGGCATGGCTAGGGCACTCGACTCGCAATCTGAGGGTCGCAGGTTCGAATCCCATCACACCAAACATGCTCACCCTTTCACCTGGGGGGCATTATAATGTGATGGTCAATCCCACTATTTGTTGGTAAAAGAGTAGCCCAAGAGTTGGCAGTGGGTAGCGATGACTAGCTGCCTTCCCTCTAGTCTTACACTGCTAAATTAGAGACGGCTAGCACAGATAGCCCTCATGTAGCTTTGCGCGAAATTCAAAAACAAACATAGAGGTTGCTCAATGAGGTTGAAGTGCTAGACTGCAGTGGCCTGGTACAGTGTGTACTATGCAATTTAAAAATTATTTATGTATTATAATTTATTTAAAGTATATTATTATACTATTACATGGACAATAGTGTAATTACATGATTATACGATTTCCATATGGTTTTGGTGTAGTTAGTCACTTTTGCATTGTTATCTTTTTTGCTCTAAGGAAAGTGTCTTCTATGATCCTGCACAACTTGAAGGAGGAATTGTTTCTGTTCTCCTTTTTTCATTATGATGTCCTTATATTTCTCAATAAAGGCCACACCCTTTTCAGCATTGTCACTTACAACATTTAAATGTTGAACTGACTTTAGTGCCTCCCTGTAGTCTTCTCAGGGTCATACTCTAGAAATCCAGATTGAATTTTAAAGCACTTGAAGAAGTCTGTTGTGTCCTTTGTGTTAAAATTTTCAACTGATATGATCTCAGACATCTTGATATTCAGCTGGATGTGGTTATTCCATGCTTTCCTTCGCATCTAGTGCCTTAACCATTGCTTGTTTTGTCACTTAATCAAAGAATGCAAAACCAGTGAGTTCCTCTTTGAGATTACTACAGAGGTCCAGCAAATTTTTGACAGGCAAATTTTGAAAGAGCAGAATTTCATCTTCTTATACTTAACAAGATGTATTAGAAAGTTAAGGTCATTGTGAAGGGAAGAAATGGCATCAGAAGCTGTGAACCATGTCCTAAGATAGACTCAAACAACAATGATGCAAATGTCATGGAGTGCTCTTTTCTGAAGGCAAATGGGCTAAAACTATTCCAAGTATATCTAGGAGCTATAAATCACACTTCACATGGAGGGATAATACCAAAAAAGGTTATAGCTAGTTCAAGAAGCTCTCAACAATCATCTCTAGGTTGGCTGACATGAAGCTGCTCTGTAGCAAAGTTAGTAACACTGTCCTTAACTTCCTCTATGGCTTTTGCTACTTCATCATGGTTAGCTGCACTTTCATAAATGGACAAAGTAATCTTGAGTCTGAATTTTCTGTAGTAAAGGACGAGATGAATCAAAAAACACTGGAGAAAGAGATTAGAAGGGTGAGGATTTGCAGCCACTGATAAAGCAGTACCTAGAGAAAACCCTGGTGTGGGAAACAGTCAAAATCATCATCATACTGATCATGTTCAAACTGAGGAGAAGGAACGTCATTTGAATGAATGGGAGGAGGAGGTCCTGTATAAGAGTGAACTCACAATTCATTGGACAGAGGCTGTCATGACCTCCTCTGACAATGAGCTTCCAGAAGACACAGGGCTCCTGTTAGTAACATTGTCACCAAAGAACAAAGTAGAAATTACCGTCATTTTGAAATTCATAATGGGTATGTAGTAAAAAAATTATTATTTTTTCTTAATCTTTAGTCAAGAAAGAAATAGTAAAACTTGAATGGAATTCAAGTTTCATAGGCTATTGCAAATCTCATGTAATTAATTACTAAGTTTAAAAAAACGTCCAGTTGAGGAAAAAAATGATGTTATTTTGAGTGCAAGTGCTTAAGTGGAGTTACTGCACAAGAAGGTTGTGTCGCCCTCCAACAGGTGGAGGGCTGTTTTTGCATGATGACATCATCATCATACACTGGTGAAGTTCATGTTAAATGGGATTTTTAGATGGGAGTTAGCTCAAAACCAGTGTGATGCAAATTTCATAGGTAAATGAATAAGGAATCAAGCTATTCTGTGAGACGAGATGGGTATCTATCGTCTCAGAATTGTAAACTTTAATTTTCCATGATAATTTGAGGTAGTAGGTAATTATTCATTTAGTGCAATATAAAAAGCTATTTCCATTCATTTGGAGACAATGTTTACAATTGCTAGCATTGCTCTACATAAGGTAAAATAGCTGTATTGAAAAAGCCAATACAAAAGACTTTTACATGGTTAAACTACAAAATCTCTACATGTTATAACATGCATCCATCTCAATTGAACCAAATTCTGGAGAACCAGTGTTTCAAACACCTAAGAATATTTGTAAAAAATACAATAAACATTGATCTTACAGGTATACTTATAAATAAATAAAAATCTGGTTTCTATCCTAAATGACTCCAAAGTTTTTCCAATTACAGTTTGACCCGTAAGCTAAAAATAGAGTTGAATCAAACACTGCTAACTTCTAAAGTTTTTGTCGTCCATGTGGTATGACCAATAAGGATAGTGTAAGTGTGAACTTAAAATAGGATTCAAACCATTTCTAACCAAACACAGTGCACTGACATAAGTCAATCCATTCTTCCACAAAAAGTTTTGCAAATTATGAAGATCTATCAATTTTGCGTAATGATACTAAATTTGCTCTAACTGAATATTAAGGGTTCTCTTCTTAGTATTGTTTGAATTCCTTTCAGCAAATTATTTAGCATTTAGTTTCTGTAATCACTATAGTATTGTATGTCTGAACAGTTTGAAGTAGAATTTAGCATGGTCCCCATTGATCAAACTATTGGTTCTTGATCCTCTTGAAGTCGTGATTTTCACCACTTGTACCATCAAACAAAAAGGACTTAAAATAGTTGGTTTACAGAAATATATATTTTATAAAATTTCAGAATTAAAAAGAAAATATAAAGTAAATCACTCTGTTAATTTGAAATTTATATTTTGAAATTCTAGTACCTTCAGCTTTTGTTTCAGCCTTTAATTACATGTTTGTGACAACTATTGTAAAAGGTAGGTGTATTCAACTCAAACTGATTTTCAGCACAGAAGTCAAATTGTAGCTTGAATATCTCAAAAACCAGTTGGGCTAAAAACCTTAACTGATTTAAATTATGAGTTTTTCTATAAAGTCAAATTCCACAGTTTTCCTTATTCTATGGAAAAGCTGAGCCATTAACTTTGGTATATATGAGCTAGAATGATTCAAGTGCAAAATAAGCTTAACTGATATTAAATCTACTTCTTGTTCATTACTTGACTTAGAAATTTCATGGTCAAGAAATAAATAATCCAGTGAGAGTAAACTACATAATCGATAATTCTGATTTGTGTTGGGTATCACGACAGAAACATTACAATTTAACTAAAACACTTTTAAACATGGGTTATCAGTAAAGGTATGTAAAAGTAGTTTCACTGTACACTGCTGATAGCACATACTTGATAAATAGCTCTCCTAGGTTCAATATGCTTAGTGGCATCAAATAGCCAGTCCACAAGGTGTTCAAAACTAGCTCGTCTTGTGATGTCATACAGGAGCAGTGCTCCTACTGAATTTCGATAATACGAACGTGTAATAGACCTGTAATACACACAAATAAAAAGTGTAAACTACAAAAATTTCACTCTATAACCTTATTTTGTTATATTCTTTTAAAACATATAGAAATGCTATAAATAAATTTAAGATGAGTATATAACATGTTAAGATAAAACTTTTCCCTGTAATGATAGAGAACTTATTTTCAATTTAATTCCACAGACCTAAGGTATCTTATAAATGCTTTAATATACTAATAATATACAATTAAATATGAAGCAAAAACAAAAACATGTTTAATATGCATATTAAAAAATTCCTTGGTGTGATTCAATATCATAGAACATTACATATGTGTACATGTGATTATAGCCATTTAAAGAAATATGTTGAACAATCTCTAATGTATATACTTGTTGACATAAATAATCAGTCATAAATATAAGCCTTTAGTAGTTGATATCTAAAGGTGTCAGATTAAAAATGTGGTAAATACAGAAGCCTTGGCTGGATAATATATATATATATTAATGAAATATGTCATCAAAAACTATTTTGTTTTGCCTTGTACAGAATTTATTTTAAAGACATATAATGGCTGGAGACGGCTTGAATGGGTTATGAAGAAAAACTTTAATATAAGTTTAACATAACAGCAAGCCATTCAAGCCGTCTCCAGCCATTATTAGTCTCAAAGTGGGTTCCTCGTCATCAAATTTAAAGACCTATGTTCAATATTGAGTCATTGCTGTTAGAGTGAATCATTTTGGAGGAATTTATTCTGCACCTTCCATTCATCAAAGACAAAGTTAACATTTTCCTTACTTGAAAATGTATTTCCTACAGATAACTCCACATGCAGTTTAGTTATCTTCCTCGTGTGTCTGTCAGAGAGATTTGGATGCCACTGGCCTTGAAGCAACTCTCATCTAATTCCACATGAATTGTACTGCTGTATGATGATATCATTATGAGGCCAAAGCCCTCCGCCATTACGAGGACATTACAATTCCATGCACAGTAACTCCCTCTATGCACTAACACACATGGAACTTCATTCTTTGATGAGCCAAGAAAAACAAAGGTACATTGGAAGTGGGAAAGATTGGATGGAATTTATGAAAGGTGAATATCTATCAGAAATACATTTTCAGGTAAGGGAAATGTTAACTTCCAAGATAATAGTTCATCCCTGTACACAGTTTGGCTATAATCCCAACTGGAAGTGATGAAGGAGTTGGTGTAAATTTTACCAAACTGAGATCCTTTTAGAAAACACCAGAAAAAAGCCCATGGAGTATGACACCCCATGACAGGGGCTCCATAGAAGCACAGGTGTGGGAGACCACATCTTGTCTTATCCAGGCTATACTCTTCACCCAGAATGTAAGGGAGGAAGAGGCAAATGTCAAAAGGATGGGCAACAAGTTCTACCACCCAAGTGGTCAGAGAGCCATTATGTGTACTGTGGTTTGGGCTTATTCAGTATGTACCTTGTGTTCTCATCTCAACTCGACTGTCAGACTCCAGCTGTGGAAGGGGGCATAGAACTCATGCAGTTGTGTTGCATATAAGGTGTGCTCACCTTGACTCAACTAAACAGACAATAACTACAGGAGGATGGCACATCAGATATATATATATATATATGGTTACATACAGTGTGTGATCACCTCAACTCTAATGAACAGACTATAGCTGCAGGAGAAGGGTGCAAGACCATAGTGTATGCTCACCTCAACTTTACTGAACAGCTCAGGTTACAGGAGGAGGGCACAAGTAGCATGAGTTATATATATATGAGGGGTGACTTGAATTACATTAACAGTTACCATCAAACAAGTTCTCACTGTATTGGTACTCTTTAGTCTAGCCCCAGCAGTTTAGTCAAACTGGTGATGATTTTTCATGGTCCACCAACCCAAGCAGCTAGAAACTGGTGAGTAGCAATGATTTCCATGCTCAACTCAACAAAGGAGGGAGAATTCTGGTTGGAGAAACTCAAAGAAAGTGTCTGGATCCCCATTAAATCTTCAGCCGGAAAGGTCTTTTACTCAAGACAGTACAATGAGTGGCCATGAAATCCTAAAAGCCAAGAAGTGGGCTGAAGACTTCCATAGTGTTGACTTTTTCCAGGATAGTCCATGGAATAGGTACAGTCTGGACTGGACAAATGAGTGAATATATATATATATACCACGAGGATACCTCAAGTACTCTTACAGAACACCCCATCACACAGACAACACAGGTAGAGACAGGGTAGATAGTATGAACACTTTCTGTTATCCTGGGAGGCAACATCAGACACACAGCAGGATGCTATGAATGAAAAAGGGGCCCTGAAAGAGAAATAGCACCTATTATTCTCAAAGACATTGGGATGATAGAAGATTGGAGACCTGTAGGGACAGAAAAACATCAGGAGATGAAACAGTCAGAGGGTGTAAAGAAGACAAATGTGTGGAATACGTCTACATGCTCACCAGAAGGAGCTCATCCTTGGATACACATTTGAACAATGGTAATCACAGATGAGGAAGAGGAGGAAGATGATACAAAAGGCAGGAAGACCCAAATGGGGCATGCAAGAGATCATGCAAAACCTCATCAAGGTCTCAATCAGGCATGTGAATTGGATAAAGAAGGTGGAAGAGAACAAAGAAAGCAGAGCGTAGTGAATAGGATGAGAAGAAACACCTCCTGGTATCAGTAAAGGAGAAAGGTTATAGATAAGGCCTCCCAACAACTAGTAAAAGCAGAGACTGACAAACAGTCAGGTAAAAAGGGCAGAAAGGTAGTTCATAGTATGACTGCCGGGAGGAAAGGAGTGGCAGAAGGTACAGTGACAAAGGACCTACCACAGCTATTAATAGACAAAAACAGTGGAAAGGCAACAACAAAATGCTACATAATTGGAAGGTCCAGTATGATGGGTGACAGGTCAGGCAAATTCCTTGTATAAGGAAGGAGAAGATAACCCTAGATAAAGAAGAGATGCATGAGGGTGAAGCAAGAAAGAGAGAGGAGAAACTGGGGAATAGAAGGAACAGTATAAATTCTAATAACAAACAAGGAGAAAAGACAAGATAAGCCCAAGAAGTGTGGATCATATGAGTAAGAGAAGGAAAAATAATAATGAAAACAGGCAAAAGATAGGAAAAGAAACATACTTGAGAATGAAACCCAGAAAAAGATTGAAAGGTTATTGTGATTTTACCACTTGTATTACCCTTTGGTAAAGTACTACACAAAGCAAATCAAGTTCATAGTCCAACAGATCATTTCCAATTGAGGAGAAAGAAATTCAACCAACAGGATTGGAATAGGAAGCCCATTAAGCATGTGATAATTCACAACACATTGAACAATGGCTACAATGACACTGTCAGTTAACAAACCTCCTAAACCTGCAGCAGAAATAAGGCCTAAGTGTGAACAAAATCACACAATCAGGCCCAAGTAGAAATCACCATTTTCTGAGAATTCAAAACAAAATTTAAAGATTTTGAAACAAAAGCCGAGAAAAACGATAACCAAAATTTCATTTATGATGCAAATCTCAATAAATTGAATTCCGTCAAGAAATTTAAATGCATCTGTTCCATACAATGGCAATGAGAAAAATGAAGCTTCTACCAATACATGTGCATGGGGGGGGAGGTGTATTGTCCATGGAGATGTGTCGATCTCCTAATGGTGGAGGGCTTTTGCTGCATGATGACATCATCATGTAGCAGTGTAATTCATGTGCAATTATATAGAAGTTACCTCAAGGCCATTAGCATGCAGATCTCTCTGGCAGATGATGAGGAAGATAGCTAAACTTTGTGCAGAGATGAAGTATCATCTCAGAAGACAATTTTATCATCTGATATTGTGAACTATAGGACAGCAATTTCACATACAGCTTGAGCACAATTATCATTATTTTGTAAAAGTGGATTAGGGTATGTAATATTTGTCATAATAGTGTATCTATGAGAAGCTGCTTCATATTCATAAATAACTGAAAGTTTGGACAGACAAGACTATGCCTCCTGTCCAATTTCCATATTAGTAGGCAAATGAGTGTTTTCTTGTGTTCATGTTCAGGTCTGCCAGGTTTACAGATAAACATAGTATGTTCAAGAATAAGCTTAGTTAATGAAAGTCGAATGCCAAGAATATTATAAATAAAATGGATAAGTTCAGAGCTCTAGCTAAAATGAAAGTTTATAATTGGAATAACAGAAACTTGGTTAAATTGGAGAACACTTATAACTGGAATTATTTTTAAATTCAAGATTATGAGATATTTAACTGTAAATAGACATTTGAAAAGAATGGGTTGGAAGGTTCTTTATAGCAGGAATAAACTGTAGCTTGTTACAATTGAAATCATAAAGAAGTGGGAATCAAAAAGTTGAACATTATGGGCTGCTCTCAGGAATTTTAAGGACAGAAAGTTTTTACAATTAGATTATGGTCATTAATCCTTTTGCAACAGGCTCATGTAACTTACATGACTTTGTAACCACCATTTAACCATGGTGGATTACATACTATAACTCTGAAAGTACTTAATGTATTTTCAAGAAATTTGGCAAGATTTCAGTAAACATTACACCTCTATTGTAGACAAAAAATCAGAATTTTTCATTAAGTACTTTTATTAAAAATCTGTCCATAAATATATGGAATCAGAATGTTGACTGCTCCAAATGCAAAGTGATTTTCATGTTAGGATTAAAAACGATTTTCTTCATCTGAAAATTTTCAAGTTTGATTTGCATAATCTTCAAAACCTCCTAATTAAGTACAAACTTTTTTCATAAAAACTTTATACTTTATTCAGACAGAAAAATAACTACATTATGTGCAACAACCTTTCTTTATCACAGAACACAATTTTAAGTAAAAGTACCCTCCTCACAACAAGAACACAACTTTCACTAGGACTGTACATGAGGGTTTGTTATATGTTTATTGATGTAATTTGTAAATATAGTCTAGAAAATGGAGTTCTTAAAAAAAACTGCTATTTTTGTTAATAAAGAGTACCACTTTTAATACACAAAATCATTACTGTTTATCAGCACAATCCAAACACTTTTCCCATGCAGTACTTCCCAAAAAAATCTTTTAGAAAATGTTCACTTTCTCTAAATTTTTTCAATGAGGTATGAATACTACCATGAGTAATTACTAGCACAAACATCCTCATTATGTCAGCATTTCTGCTATTTTTAAAAATTTTCTAATTTGAAATTGAATATTATTATTTTTAATCCTCAACTGTTTAAGCTTGTATGTTTAGCAAAAAGAAGAAAAAGGAAATATGTGTTATAGAGTACACTCATTTGAGATGACTATCAATATCTGAAAGTTTGAAACCCTCAAGACCTAAATCTCTCCATGTAATTATATTTCCATAATGCTGTCTGGTAAAATAAATGAATCACTTTTTTCCAGAACAAAGATTTAGAAAAATTAAAACGTGTTCAAATTTATACATTTTAAATGCAGTAAAGTTACTCAACAATGCAATAATTTCTTATAATATTATTTTTTATTTACATTAAGTAGGCTATAATCACACATAATCAAAAAGGACTTCTTAACCATTTTATATACAACTTACAAGCCTTAATTGAAATTAAGCAATAACATTGAGAAGATTTATGTATTTTGTTTGACAGTTATTTCACGTTATCACACTCTAAGCTTATGCTATCATAATCAAATACGTGAGAAAAAGACTTCCTCACAAGTATTTTAACCCAAGATTACAACCTGAATCTCTCTTGCCCAGCTGTGTCCCAGAGTTGAAGCTTAACCCTAACACCATTTTTTATTTCTACAAGACGGGAAAAAAAATCCACGCCAACTGTTGGATCCAATACTTCAGTGAATTTTCCTTCGGTAAATGCTCTCAGCAAAGTGCTTTTTCCCACCATACTATCGCCAATCAAAATAATTCGAAACTGATAATCAAAGATTGACTCCACCATAATGACTAGTACCACTACTAGTAGTAGTAGTAACTAGCAGTTACTATTAGTCATATTATAATATAACGTAGGTATATATTACATAGAAAACAATGAAATGAAACTTATAAGTTTAAAATAATGCTTATTCAGTTTGTAATAACTATTACAACCAAGCAAGGTTAGATTATGTACAACAATAACTTGGAATTGCATAATATCATTATCTATACATCCAATACAAGTTAGGCAGTTTGCCGCTTGCTGTGCGGTCAAGTTCCGTCCGTAGAATGGGATTTGGCACCCAAATTCTATCCTACTCTAAATTCCAGTAAATGTTGATTTTATTTACTCAATTTATTCATGTAACTTCTTGTTTTGAACGAAACATATTTCATAAGTATTATTTCATGTTGTATTAACAACTTAATGTGTTATAAAGTTATTACAGTATAACAGTTATAACAGTAATAATTTACATTAACAGGTTTATTAGACAAGAATCGGGGTTTAATGATAAGTAATAAATAGTACGACAGCAACAATAACGTTTGATACGTGTGTGACGCGAAATCTCATCCCGTCCAAATTCCGTATGAAGGATAGAATTTCGCGGTACACCGTCACACATATGTGAAATATTTCTTGTTGTTGCCGTCGTAATATACTGTTACGACAGCGGAAGTCACGTGATGCTTGTAACACGAGATGAGTGTCTAGAAGATTCGCGAAAACGCTAGTGCGTGCTACGCGCGCATTTTTGATTGTGTATAAGCGCGCCAGACAAAGGAAAGGATCATTCGGAACTGGAATAGCAGAGAGGGAGATTGAAGTTATAGACACCGATAACCACCGTAATTAAATTGCATGAATCGTTTGTTGTGAATTATAGCGTGTGTTTAAGTTAAAATGACTGCGGAAATTAAGTGTATTGCAAAGTTGTATTGAGAAAGAATAAACTAGTTTTATTTAAGAAAGGACCTTTGTCGCTAAAGTTTCCTCGGAAACAAATTATACGGAAAATTAACAAACGACCAGAAACATAACAAATTGGTGTCAGAAGTGGGATGGAAAAAAATGGAAACGAAAAGTGGCAAATCAAACTACAGCTTAGCAGATTTGATGGCAGCAATACAAGAACAGCAAAAGAAACAAGAAGAACGGGAAAATATACAAGAAATAAAACAAGAAAAACAGCAAAAGAAACAA